AAAGAAGGGAAAAGAGAGTAGTAAGGGAGAGAGATCTGAGGTAAGCATTTTGATTTTATTATAGTTGTATCATAGATTTTTAAATATTGGTAATATTCTTCAAAGAGATTATACCAAAATATTATTTAGTATTTTAACTGACTTATGAAGAGGGGAGATTGCAATGTAAAATTGTTATTGTGGGATAAAAGGACTTAATTCAATATATTGAAAAAAGGAATTATAGGAATTATAAGCTTTAAGAAATGTGAATTATGTAATTAATTTACAAGAGAAAAAGGATACAAGGTGTAGGAATCGAGGAGGCAACTCGTCGCGGGGTTAAAAAATGCAATTTTAATTTAAAAAGGAAATGTTATTATTTTTAGGCATGTATAACTGCATTTAACCAAAATGAAGAGTAAAAATGCATCATTAAAGCTACTGCAATTTGGTTGAGTGGGTCTACAATCAAACAATCAGGTATGAACAATCAAATGTAAATTTTAATAATTCTATTTTAAAATGAAATATTATATGATTAGATAAATGTTTTCCTAATTAGCAATATTTTGAAAAGAAAAGCACTCAGTTATATTTTAGTTTCTTATTCTTTTTATGCAAGCATTGTATATTATAGTAAGTCATTAAGCATGAAATTATCAGTCAAATATAAGTTCAGAAATTTTGAAGCCTTAATGAATATTATATTAATTGAGAGTTGACAATGAAATGTTATAATACCTACACAGGTGGGGCAAAAGAGATCCTGATAGAGGCAAAAAGGATCTCAACATAATTTAATGGCGATAATGTTGGGTTCTTACCTATGCACCATTAAACAATATTATGAAGCTATAAAAGCTAATTTTATATTATACATATGGCTAAAACCTGAGATATCCAATTATGATATTATTTACAGGCTTCGAAGAAAATGTAAGATACTTATAATTCTTAGTGCAAAATATGATGTTTCAATCATTAAAGGACATGATCTATGGCTACCTATGATACTGTAGCAAACATGTTATTACTCATTCATATAAGCATATATATATTTTTTCAATTATGTTGCAAATTACCTTATGAGTTTATGTCAATTAAGAATATAATCATATTGTTCATTATACTATTCATTGAATTATTTATTAGAATTTCATATCTTTCTGAGCCTCATAACTCACCAGATTTTAATTCTGATTGTTATTATTAGAGGGGGGGGGGGGAAATAAGGTGGAAGCAGAATAACTTCAGTTCAATATAAAACTTCATGTTTTGTTGTATAACAGGATAGGTGGTATCAGCAGAGGTATGTAGGTTGTTTATTATTGTAATATTTTTGGCTTCTTAATGTCTATATAATTATATATGCATGATTTAAATGAGATATTTTGGATGTTTTTGTTTTATAGAGGAATGTGGTGAATTGTGACAGGAATATGTTTAGAAACGATATTTTAAATGTCGAAGGATTTCATGTTTTCTCTATTGCACTCTACGATGTTGATCGGTGGTGTCAGGAGTATGGCACGTAACATAGGCCAAATCTAATACATCTACTCTTCTAATTGGGTCATCGGTAGGTCAATGTTTTATTTGACTAAACCATCTAAGGAGACTCTTTCTAATCTTATATGCCACTAGAGCTACTCTAAGCTTTTCATGTATATGCACGTTTCTCATTCTATCTCTACGAGTAAGCCAATCATCCACCAGAGCATCCTCATTTCTGCAACTTAACTTAATTTTATACTTCTCTTTTAATGGCCAACTATCTGTGCCATAAAGCATTGCAGGTCTCACCACCATCTTATAGAATTTTCCCTTACATTTAAGGGGTACTTTACTATCACACAACATGCCCAATGCTTTCCTCCCCTTCAACAATCCAACTTGAATTCTACTAATAATATCCCCATCTATTTCATCACCACTCTGAACAATAGATCCGAGATATCTAAAATGTGTACGCTTATTAATGACTTAATAGCCCAAAGCCACAATCACCCCACTAGATCTGCTACTACTAAAATTACACTCCATGTATTCGGTTTTAGATCCACTCAAAAGAAAACCGTTAGACTCTAAAGTTGACCTCCATAATTCAATTTAACTTCAGCTCCCTCTCTAATCTTATCAACAAGAAGAATAGCATCAACAAGCATACACCAGGGTACATCCTCTTGCAAATGTCTAGTAAGAACATCCATGACTAAAGCAAAAAAGATATGGGCTTAAAGCTGGTTCTTGATGCAATCCAACTGAAATAGGAAAATACTTGGTCAAACCACCTTCTGCTTGTTCATGTTAATAATTAAATTAAATATAAGTAACATTCTAAATTGAATGTTAATAATTCATGAAAATCTGGATAAACCCTAATGAAATGTGAAAGTCAAGTGTAAGCGAACCTCTAATAGCAAGTGTTTTCTGATGCATCCGAAATCTCTATGAAAATGACTTCAAATGTATAAATAAGAACTTAGAAATCAAGTAAACGCTGAAACCCTGAAAAATCATGCTCTATTAATACTTTATTTATTCTCTACAAGTCATTGTATTTGTTTTAATTAATTAACTACAATATAAAATTTAAATTTTGATACTAATATCAATGATGAGTACTGAAAAAAGTCTACTAAGCTTGGTCTACGATATTTTCTGACATTTCAGGAAAAGGCAAAGGCCCAATAGAGTAGAAAGGTATAGAGGCAAGATCTTCTTAGTCTAAACGATTGAGGTATTATTTTCTAATCCAATTTTAAATTCTTCCGATGTATAGATGATTGAAATTTGATTGGGATATTATATATGCATTTTGATGAAATGAAACACGTCAAGTTGCTTTTATTGCTTAGATTTTATAATAGCTCTGGTTGTTTCTGTTGATAGTTGAGATGTTAAATTATCGATTTGAAATTTAATCCTTCCATTAGATCCTAGTGCATCACATTCACTTTGAGTGCTTCAGAGTAGATCTAGATTTAAGAAAATTACATGTTCAGGATCATAAAGTTCATTCAAATGGTCATGCCACCTGTATCTTTCAATGATTGTTGCTCTTTCATTAATGGAGGTTTGTTCTCAAAATGTATGACAAATTGATCCTCTAGAAGTTGCATCTAATGTACCTACCTCTACTATTCCTTCGACTTCAACTTATATCTCTCATAATTAATGTGGATATTGATCCCCCTGCTCTAGGAGTTCCTCTCTCCTATTGATGAAGGCATAGGAGCTCATAATTAAATACATCCTCCTGATTATGATGGAAGCATTTTGAGTAACAAGGCACCATGAATCAAAGGCTTCATATCATATTCACAAGATAGGATAGTAATAAGAAAAAAATTTATCGGCATTCTCCATTTTTGTACCAAGCTCCAAGCTAGGCAAGTTAATTGAGCTTGTACTCCATGATATCTTTAGTTTGCCCTATTTATTTTTCTTTTTTCTCTCGCAATTCTTGTTAATTGCCCTTTTGTTTTACTCCTATCATTTTCTTATAAAATTATGCTATAGAAAAAAAAATTCACCAAGGTTTAAGGCTTAACATAGAGCTCCCTTCACAAGGTAACCCACAAATACAATACCAAGTCCTCAGCCACATAGTTTAATCACCTTAAAATAAGATAACAACCCTCAATGATAGCTATCGAGTCAATTGTTTGATAAGAACTACCAATTCACATCAAAGTATGCCACATACATGAAATTATGGATGCTTAAGAAGAGTAAATTCAGGCTACTAATCAAATTCCTTGGAAGCTACAACAATAAGCCTCTAAATTTGGCTGACTAAAACCATTAAATTGACACGAGAGAACAAAACCATCATATTTTGAACAGGTTAACCATCCATCCACCTGAATTTAACTCAAATGATGATTTTGAACTTGAACCATACATGATATCTTTATTTTATTGTATTTTTTATTATCTTAATATTTTGTTCACCAACCTCTTAAAAATATGGGCATATAGGATGCTTACTAATTCACTCCCTTTTTTCTATTATAGATTTTTTTTAGAGATATTTAATTGTTAAGGGTTATCTTAGTCTTTTTGACATTTAGCCACACTTCTTTAAAAGGGCCCTCTTAGGAGACATTTAGCACTTGATTTTGATTAAAAAAAAATCTATCAAAAAGTGAAATTCACCAACCTTCTATTGTGGAAATTAAAGTCGCTTTAAGGTTTTGTATATTCCTTTAAACCAAAATTGTGTACTTGAATCACCTCTATGTTGTGTGTGCTGAGTTTTATCAAGATCTACGATGTAAGCTTCTATCTTTCTTTAACCTGTTTCCCTTGTCCATTACCCATATCTTTTACAAGTGGACTTCATTTTTGGCCAAACACTTGAGAGAAGTACTAGTTTTTTTTTTTCACAGATTTCTCAAATCCGTGTTTCTTCCGTGTCTGCATTACCATCAATTCCTACCCTTCTTAATAGTGCAATAATCATTTGTTGTATTAGATATTACAATGATTCTCCCTCCACATTACCATCAATTCCTAGCCTGCTTAATAGTATAATAAATATTTCTTTGTAATAGCATTCGTTCCTTCCTCTAGAATAGCTGAGGCATCACGTTTTTGGCTAATAACGTACCCTGTCAAATTGTAAAGGAAAAACCATGGTAAGGATTTCATGATGTCAGGTAAAAAAAATATTGATGTGAATCCTTAATGATATGACTACTAACATTCAAAATATTTAAAGCAGCCATGATATAGTGTACTAAAAACAAATCAGTTAGTCAACTGACCTGATAAACCGCAACAAAGTGCATCTCACTCAAACTTTTTTTTTTCAAGAAGCAAGCTACTGAAAGATTTAAAGCTATGCATGTAAATCAAATAATCAGGAAAAATCCTTTTCCTCCTCGTTAATAACAGAAATACTACCCTAATGAGCTACTCATCATTTAACAAGTCATCAACTACCGAGTCTCAAAGTAACAGAACATAAAGGTAAGTTGAAAATAAAGTGAAAAAGCTTATTGGACTCGTACAGGTAGTTCTACATGCTCTTCCCAAAATGCCGTAGTGGATTCTTTTGCAGTCCGTATCCAGTTGTCGATATCAGAACTTCCCATTAAGCTGCTGTGCCGTAAAACCCAAAATGAACATGCAGAAAGGCCAACTGCTCCACAGGTGTAGCGAAGCCAGTATAAGGTCATTCTGTTCGGTTTTTGACAACTGGAAAGCTTAAATGAATAACAAAAGAATGCCAAATAAGATGTTGAAACAAAATTACATTTCATCGTGTTTCATTCCATTCTCAAAGACAATATAGTAAACAAAAGACAACAGAAGGAATATCATTCCAGATCTATATCCCTCCAGACTCTCTTCATTTTCCTTAATGTTTCATTTATTTCCCTAAACATTCTAAATGACGAGCAAGAACAAGAAATATCTTTCCAATTGTAGTATCCATCCTAGCTTTGTGAGACTCTCTCAAAGTCACAATAAAATTTTAATGGTCTGATGTCTGTTAATGTGATCCGTATTTTGAATAGATGGCAAAAACATAAATAATTATGGCAAAATATCACATAAAACTTCCGTGTATTAACAAAACACTAAGAAAAATAAACGCACACCGGTTGTGTTAGAAAAATAAACACATACCAATTGTGAGAAAACAACTGCAAAGGAAAAAAAAAGCATTTTTACCAAATGAAAATTTGAATCATCAACAACCACAATCAGTTTCCAAACAAGAGACTTCAAGTAGCAGCGAAGCTCACGTAAGTTTACATACATTCAAAAGCAAGTTTCTCAATAGCATTTCACATAATGCAAAAAAACCAAGTAGAGGTCCAAAATAAATAATGGTATTTACATACTTTAGCTAAGCCTCTACATTAAAAACAGCTGAACAAAGTACTACTTCCTCCACTTAATAATATTTTCAAGTTCTATCACCATACGAATGCAAGTACAGGTTGACACTAATTTTAGCGCCTAATAAAGTTATGACTAGCAGAGCTACTTTTGAAATGGGGTTTTGCATCCATGGAAACCTTAATCTTAAGAATTAAAAATAAATATCTATCAATCTCGTCATATTAACTTGGGGAAATTTCTAGGACCTTTTTCTAGTCATCCTTTGAATGTTCATAATGCCCTATACTTTTTTCCAGAAAAGCAAAATGGAACAGATCACCCCAAGCTCATGATACTTTCAAAGTTCACAAATTTGTGGCAACTAAACTAAGGATGGTTTCTCTCTCTATCTCTAGAGTCGCTAACGCTATCCTCAATTTCTCCATGCATGCACATCATCGCACCAAGTCCAGATTTTTTTGCACTCTATCACATAGATTTCTGACAACTCCAATAGAAAATTTTCCCTATCTTTGGACGTCATTTTGTTTTATGCTTGATGTCATCATGCATGTACATCATGGGTGAGATTTCTATACACTCTATAGATTTCTAGAAAAGCTATTCAAAAACTTCCTCTCTCCATCTCTAAAATCATTGAGTTGTGTCCTCGATTTCACCATACATGCACATCAAAGTCTATTTTGACCCTATTCTCTGAATTTTTTCATACAATTTTCCAGACAACTCTGCTAGGAAAAATTTCTCTCTCAATCTAACAACATCATTACGCTCTACCCTTAATGCCGCCATAAATACAAATTATATACCCTATTGTGTAAGGTTTTGTTATTTTGTCACACATTTTTGGTGAATCTGCTAGTGAAAGTTTATCTCCTCATCTGTAAATGGTAAAGTATTCTATCTTTGATATTTTCATGCATGCTTCAAATTCCTTTGTACTTTGACACAAATATTTATAACATTCCGCTAAGGAAGATTTTTTGCTCCATCTCTAAATGTTGTACTCTATTTTCAATGTCTGCATGCAAGCACATCAAATGTTATTTGACAAGATTTCTCACTGCCCTACGGAATAAATTTATGACAAATCAATTAATGAACGTTTCTCTCTCCATCTCTGAATGTTTTTGTGGTTTATCATTGATGTCACCACACATGCAAACCAATGACCAACTTGGCTAGATTGATATGTCCTTCATTACAAATATTTCTCTGACTATGTTGAGAAGGTTTCTCTCTTTCTTTGAACATCATTGTGCCCAAATCATGTTACACTATGGAGTGCTAAATTTCTTCATCGATGGATTAGATTAGTGACCTATGATTTTATTCCATTATAAATATTCTAATCTAGGTTTTGCCTATAGGAATTATTTAGATTTTGGATCACTTACTGTTTTTATTAGTTTCCCTAGAATTAAGATGGCTAACCAATTAATCATTGTGGAATGGATGTTAAGCTTGATAATGACTCTCTAGTTGACGCTTGTTGTAAGACCAACTGGATCGTGTATCCAATTTGATGGATATAAATGATCATGTATTTTGATATAAACTACTTTGAAACCAAAACTACAATAAACACGCAAGCGAACAGAAAGCACCCATTCAAAATAAAAATAAAAATAAAATGTTTGCATGTATTTTAACAACAAAATTTTCACTCAAGAAACTGAATTTGAATAATTGCAAACGACGCACACATGTCATGAGACATTTATTAACTCAATTATGACAATTTGGTAGCCATGCAAGTGCCTTGAAATATGTAGTTGTCCTTGAAAAATGTACCAACCATCAACAGAGAATTATTTGCATATGCTATAATAAACATGCTAAATGCCTAACTTGAAAACAAAAACAAAAAAATGCTATGTGAGCTATAAGCAAGATGAACTTAAACATACCCTGCTCTAAGAACCATACAATCATTTTGAAAAGCGAGCAATCATTTTAAAACTTACAAGACTCCTTTTAAAACTCAAACTCCAACTCATTAACGAGTAGTACGCATTCTTAAGTAGGCCGCCCTACCTATAGGGCAGGGTCATAAGTTCCACGTTTCAAATCTGATCTTTCATGTCCCAAAAACTGAAGTCAATAAAGACTTGAGCCTTAAAACAAACATCTACACAATAAAGAAGGATCTAGGTCTACTTTGATTAATTTCTATTATGTATTATCTCTGTTTAAAATTGCGCAATTAGAGGCGCGCCTTTGCGCAATTCTGCCCAAAAACGCCTCATAGCTACGCAATTTTGGGCTTTCAAGAGGCGTACGCCTCACTGGGGCTGAGGCGCTGTTGACCTCTGAATAATAACCAACGGAACAAAATGAAGAAGAAAGCTCAAATCAAAATCCTACATACATACCTGTGCCCGGAGGATCCACGAATTCTGCCTCAAATCCTGCCCGAAATCCTGCCGAGACACTGTAGCACAGCGCCGTTTACGTCGCCTCCTGAGAATCCCTCGCAGACCTCGATCGTTGCTCTTCGTTGGCTTTAAAAGCCAACCGAATGAAGCCTTCGGGAGCCATTCTATTCCTCCCGTCGCTACTTCCTCTCGGCTCTTCTCCCGTTCGACCCCACGACACTCTCTCGTCTCTGCTTCCCGAATTCCTCCCGACCTCCAGCTCCTCCATGCTCAACTCCACACGCAGCTCTTCCTCTCCCGATACCTCTCCTCCTCTCCCGTCACTGCCTCCACTCCTCTGTCGGAACCCCAGCTTCCACGACCTCTCCCTATTCCAACCTCTTCTCCGATCCAGTGAGAAAGAGAGAGAGAGAGAGAGAGAGAGAGAGAGAGAGACCGATCCACATACCTATAGCCGACTCCAACGGACCGATCTCCTCTGGCCATCGCTCCATCCAATCCCGTCCAAAGAGCCGCCCGAACTCCA